TAATAAGTAATAATAATGTATAATATATCCTAGATAGATAAACCGTCTTCCCTCAGAATCGTTTGTGACCTACTGTAAAGCAGAGCAATATCCACTTTCCAGCTTTTTTATTATGATTGGATATAATTTTACATTTGCACTAAGTTTTTTTTTCGAATTAAATACACTAAGGGTTATTTTTCACYTATTATAAATATCAATACAATTATTTGAATAGATAAATTATGCAAATCAATAAATATTGATATTTTGAAGAATTGATTTCCTCATTGATATAGTATTATTAATACCAAAATGTAATAATTATTGATTTTATAGTTAATGTAAATATTAATTATAGTTATTTTATATAAAATGTTACCTTCTTCACTACTTCTTTCTGAATCCGTCCGTAAATCATCAGATGTTTCTTCAAGGATCGTTTCTAGAAAAATATAAGATGTACTGCTTACGATGTTTCCTCCATAACTACTTTGATTGAACGATGACCAGTTATCTTCGTCACTGTTATCGCAAACATCGTCTTCTATAACACGGTAAAATTAATTCAATCAATTAGGAACAGTTACAGCTAAATACGTGTACGACATCAAATAATTTAAGGAATGATAAATGAAATCTATTATTCTTTGTTTTTGATATTTAAAGAAACTTAAAAAATGTTAATACCGCTTCTATTATGTTATTTTCTAAGAAATTTTAAACAACACGTCAGAATTTGTTATATAGGYACCGTGTTGTTTCTTTTACAAGTTTTACAAGTCTGCAGTAGTCACTGAAGTGACACAGTGTTTATTATCTATAGAAGTTATTTACAATTCATACAGTTATTTGTTATATGGGCATATCTAGAGTTGCATAATGTTTTGCCGATGTGTCGGCAAATCGTTTAACATATTTCGTCGGTTATTATACACAGCACATATACACGCCGACATACGTGTTTGTGTGCTGTAATAACTAATAAGATGAAAACAAAGACACGTGATAAACAATACACGCTACTTCAATACTTAATATATAGTCTATACCAAGGATGGCCAACTTACGACTCGCGTAGTCGCGTCATAGTTATATGCGGCTCGCATCTAATTTAAAAAAAAAAAACAATATTTACATATTAACGATATACGATAAATTATTAAAATTATAACATTTATTTATATACATTTTGGCTCTTGATATCATTGTATTTATCCATGTGCAGGCTCGTGGACGTATTCATATTGGCCACCCCTGGTCTATAATCTATAACCTATTTGATACAGAAACTCCACATGACTATTAATAATTACTCGGAMAAGAATCTATACGGAATACGGAAGCGAGATCATACGRAGGGCGCAACAAAACGTGATGATTTTTAAGATGGCGAGGCATTGGTGTCCAGAAATGAAAATATATTATAATCCAGTGTAATGGTAGGATATAATTGACTGTTTGGATTAATTTATAATGAATATTATTCATATAGTATTTGCCATTTGGTAAAGAAAAACAATTAATGAGTCTATGTGAAACAAGATGGATAGAAAGACACGATAGTGATTTATTATTTAAGAATTCTCCACAATATATCAATAAATTACTGAACTTTATAACCGAATGGCAAGAAAATAATTCATCAGTGAAAGCTTATTCTCTTTTAAATTCATTAACTTCATGTCAATTTATAATATCAGATTTACYCTACTTAATGTCACCTGCAAGTAAACTACTTCAAAGTATTCAAAACGACCTACATTTTGCTGAAGATTGCTTTAAGGATATTATAAACGTTATGGAAAATAGGCGGTTTAACAGTGAAATAAGTTTCAAAACAATATTTGAGCAAAGTAAACAATTTATGGAAAAATTGGATGTGGAACTAAAGTTACCTCGTATTACTAAGCATCAAATACACAGACTAAATATAAATATTTTATCCGTAGAAGAATATTTTAGAATTTCTGTTTATAATACACTGTATATGATCATGTACTTGATGATCTAAAAGATAGATTTTTAAGCTAAAAAAATTTAACCGTTTATAAATTATTACTTCTTATACCAAGCTGCATTGTTGAATATTGCAGAAATTGTTGATACAGAATACTCATTTACTCTCATAGAAAAACAACGGTTTTCCTCTAAACTTGAAATATGTATTGCAAAATAGACCAGAGTTAAAAACGAAGGCAAATATGAAATCTATTATTTATTTTTTCACTTTTTCAGTATTAATTATCTGATAATAAATGAATATTGTAATTTCAAGGAGGTTATCTACCAACCACAGTAATAGAAGGTTTGAATCATTGTCAAGATGTAATATTCCCAAGTATTAAAGAAATGCTTTTAATAAGTGGTTGTCTGCCCAGGTAATCGGTCAAAAAGTCCGAAAATACAAAATTGTCTAATTTTTCATAATTGTGTAATTATAATATT